CCCCGGTCCAGTCAGTCCAGGGGGTCTGTGTCCCCAGTCCAGTCAGTCCAGGGGTCTATGTCCCTGGTCCAGTTAGTCCAGGGGTCCCAAAACCTGACTCACCTGATGAGAGAATCAGCAACAGAATCCATGTGGGTGACCTGTAATAACAATAACAATAATTCCTTAATTTTAAGTGGATGCTCCACTCAAAGCGCTTTACAGGTCATGTGGATCCCCTCCTGCCTCACCAGAGTGCAGAGAAGAGTAATGGAGCCAGTTCCAGTTCAGAGAGGGGGGTTATTAGGAGGACATGATGGGTAAAGACCAGAGGGGGAATCAGGCCAGGACACTGGGGTAACACCCCTACTCTTCTCCAGAGACACCCCAGGATTGTTAATGAGCACAGAGAGTCAGGACCTCGGTTTGACGTCTCATCCGAAGGACGGCGCCTGTTTACAGTCCAGTGTCCCCCGTCACTATACTGGGGCATCAGAACCCACACAGACCGCAGAGTGAGAGCGCCCCCTGCTGGCCCCACTCACACCTCTCCCAGCAGTAGCCTTAGTTTTTCCCAGGAGTCTCCCCTCCAGGTACTGACCAGGCTCACTCCTGCTGAGCTCCAGTGGGGGCTGCCAGCTGGGAGCTGCAGGGTGATGTGGCTGCTGTTTCTGCTGGAATGAAGAAAAGGAAAGGTTTGATCCTAAGTTTGGAGTTACTGTCGGCTGTGGATGGAATATTCACGTGGTCCCATTGTCTCATAACACTTCTCTGCCTCTGAGCTGAACTAAACGTACGCTCCAGAAATAAAATATCTGTTAATACAAAATCATATTATTTGATAACATAAATGACAAAATACCTGGATTAAAAACCACTTTGACATCAGCTTTCTGCTCTCTTTTCTCCTGCCAAGCTATTCAATCACTTCCACTGAAACCCCTGGACACTGTCATCACAAAATATCACCCAGAAACTGAAACACATGCCAATTAATTATATCCAAGCTGCAGACTAGACAGCAGTTAGTTCTTTTCATGTTCTGGGCGTGCTTTCCAAATACATGCCCCTTATCTTACTGACCGAGGTCAGGCAGCATCTTTATATACGTATTTGAGCACAAATTCTACTTCAAGCCTCCGAAGTGCATAGTTTGCAAAAGTACAAAAAAAAAATGATATGTAGAAACCAAGAGATTCGAGCCTGAAGTGTCTTTTGCCCGGGACAGAGCCGGGTCTTACAGCACCAGACAGAAAACACCTGCCCGGGACAGAACCAGGTCTTACAGCACATGACAGAAAACACCTGCCCGGGACAGAACCGGGTCTTACAGCACATGACAGAAAAACTCGCTGGACAAGGGAGCCTACTGCACTGGGACAGATACTCTGGGATTAGAGAAACATTCTTCCCGAAATTCAGAAATCTAATCCCAGAGTTCCCACACCTGCCAGAGTCACAACGGGTCCCAATCCTACTGGGAGAAAGAGGAGGGAACTCAGTTGATCTGGCAGCCCAGTATGTGATCTCCTGTCACAGCCTGAGGAACAGTGAGTCCGTCTCCCAATAATGCTCCAGCCGCCTACAGAATATGTCAATATTTTATAATACGTCTTTGTTGTAAATGTCTGGAATATGTCTGTGGATTTTATATTGTTGTTATTTTTTGTTTTGTTTCATGTGAATTTCATTATTTCATTTGCTTTGGCAACACTGATTGTACCCATCGGTCATGATAACAAAGCACCTTGAATTGAATTGAATATTACTCTCTCTTCAACAGTGACTGCAGATGGATAAATATCAATTATAAATATCAATTATCAATTATCAAGCATCACTCTCAAACCCTTGGACTGTACAATATCAGTAGATACAGTAGGAAAACAATTATAAAGCAGTGAAAAAGACTGGGAATTCATAGTGACACACCCCGCACAGTAACCCCCAACTTTAAGGCGTTAGTTATCTGCTGGCATAGGACAAGACTAGGATGTCAGGGCTAGATTTCTCTCACACAACTCTTAACTCTCCACAGTACACAACTGGACACAGCCAAAACAGACGTGAAAGGCGAATCTGGTATCTCTTACCTTTTCGCCCAGACACCGCTGTAGCTGGGCTGTTTCAGCATGGT